AGGTTTTGCATTCATTATGCCAGTAATTTGTCACCCTGTTTATTTAACTTATATGCAGAGTACATCATTGCAAAATGCTGGGTTAGATGGAAGCACAAGCTGGAATCAAGGTTGCCAGGAGAAATATCAATAACTTCAGATATGCAGACGACACCACCCTTATGGCAGAAAGTGAAGAAGAACTTAAGAGCCTCTTGATGAAAGTGAAAGAGGAGAGTGAAAAAGCTGGCTTAAAACTCAACATTCAAATAAATGAAGATCATGGCATCCGGTCCCATCATTTCATGGCAAATAGATGGGGAAACAATGGAAACAGTGAGGCTTTATTTTCTTGGGCTCCAAAATCACTGCAGATGTTGACTGCAGCCATGAAATTAAAGGACACTTGCTCCTTGGAAGAAAAGTTATGACAGGCCTAGATAGAATATTAAAAAGCAGAGACATTACTTTGCTGACAAAGGTCCATCTAGTCAAAGCTATGGTTTTTCCAGTAGTCAAATATGGATGTGAGGGTTGGACCATAAAGAAGGCTGAGCACTGAAGAATTGATGCTTTTGAACTGTGGTGTTGGAGAAGACTCTTGACAGTCCCTTAGACTGGAAGATCAAACCAGTCAATCCTAAAGTCAGTCCTAAAGTCCTCAATATTCATTGGAAGGACAGATGCTGAAGCTGAAACTCCAATACTCTGGCCACCTGATGCGAAGAGCTGACTCATTAGAAAAGACTTTGATGCTGGGAAAGAATGAAGGCAGGAGAAGAAGGGGATGACAGAGGATGAGATGGTTGGATGGCATCACCGACTTAATGGACATAGTTTGAGCAAGTCCCAGAAGATGGGGAAGGATAGGAAAACCTGGCGTGTAGCAGTCCATGGTGTCCCAAAGAGTCGGACATGACTGAGCAACTAAACAATGTCAGCAAATCTGGAAGACCCAGCAGTAGCCATAGGACTAGAAAAGGTCAATTCTCATCCCAATTCCCAAGAAGGGTAGTACAAAAAATGTGCTAACCATCGGACAATTGTGCTGATCTCCCATACTAATAAGGCCATGCTTAAAATCCTGCATGCTAGGCTTTAGCATTATGTGAACCAAGAACTTCCAGATGTCCAAAGTGGGTTTAGAAAAGGAAGAGGAACTGAAGATCAAATTGCTAACCTTAATTGGATTATAGAGAAAGTAATGGAATTTCAGAAAAACATCTATTTCTGTTTCATCAACTACACCAAAGCCTTTGACTGTATGGATCATGACAAACTGTGGAAAGCTCTTAGATGGGAATACCAGACCATCTCACCTGTCTCCTGAGAAACCTGAATGCAGGTCAAAAAGCAAGAGTTAGAATCCTGTATGGAACAACTGATTGGTTCAAGATGAAGAAAGGAGTATGACAGGGCTGTCTGCTGTCACCCTGTTTGTTTAACCTACATGCTGAGCACATCATGAGAAAGGCCAGGCTGGATGAGTTATAAGCTGCAATCAAGACAGGTGGGAGAAACATCAACAACCTCAGATATGGAGATGATACCACTCTAATTGCAGGAAGTTTAGAGGAACTAAAGAGCTTCTTGATGGGGGTGAAGGAGAGTGAAAGAGCCAGCTTAAGAGTAAATATTAAAAAACCTAAGATCATGGCACCTGGTCCCATTACTGCAAGGCAAATAGAAGGGGAAATGGTGGAAATAGTGACAGATTTTCTCTTCTTGGGCTCCAAAATCACTGCAGATGATGACTGCAGCCATGAAATCAGAAGACAATTGCTTCTGGACAGTTAAACGATGACAAACCCAGATGGTGTGTTGAAAAGCAGAGACATTACTCTGATGACAAAGGTCCGTGTAGTCAAGGCTATGGTCTTTCCAGTGGTCATGTACAGTTGTTGAGAGCTGGAATGTAAAGAGGGCAGAACGCCAAAGAATTGATGCCCTCAAACTGAGGTGCTGGAGAGGACTCCTGAAAGTCCCTTGGATGCAAGGAGATCAAACCAATCTTGAGGAAGATCAACTCTGAATATTCACTGGAAGGACTGATGCTGAAGCTCCAGTATTTTGGTCATCTGATGTGAACAGATGACTCACTGGAAAAGTCCCTGATGCTGGGAAAGATTGAGGGCAGAAGAGGGAGTCAGAGGATGAGATGGCTGGACAGCATCACTAATGCAATGAACATGAACTTGGACACACTTAGGGAGATGGTGAGGGAAAGGGAGGCCTGGCATGCTGCAGTCCATAGGCATAAAGTCAGACACGACTAGGTGACTGAACAACAACAACCTTTTTATTTTGTATTGGGGTGGTGGTGGTTTAGTTGGTAAGATGTGTCCTACTCTTTTGTGACACCACGGGCTGTAGCCTGCCAGGCTCCTCTGTCCATAGGATTTCCCAGGCAGTACTGAAGTGGGTTGCCATTTGCTTCTCCAGGGGATCTTCCCAATTCAGGGGTGAAGCCCTTATCTCCTGCATTTGCAGGTGGATTCTTTACAACTGAGCTGCCAGGGAAACCTGGTACAGTGGGTATAGCGGATTAATGTTGTGATAGTTTCAGGTGGACAGCAAAGGGACTCAGCCGCATGTATACATGTATTCATTCTCCCCCAAACTCCCCTCCCATTCAGGCTGCCACATAACACTGAGCAGAGTTCCACACGCTATATAGTAGGTTTTTGTTGGTTATCCATTTTAAACACAGCAGTGTGTACTTGTCCATTCCAGACTCCTTATCTATCCATTCCCCCTGGCAAACCAGTAAGTTCTTTCTCTAAGCTTGTGAGTCTGTTTGTTTTCTACGTAAGTTCATTTGTATCATTTCTTTTTAGAGTCCATATAAGGGGTGTCATGCAATATTTCTCCTTGTCTGACTTACTTCACTGAGTATGAGAATCTTTAGGTCCACCCATGTTGTTGCAAATGGCATTACTTCATTCTTTAATGACTGAGTAATATTCCATTGTATATGTACCAAGGTTTTTTTTTTTTTTTGAGATGCTAGTCTGCCATCTTTTCAGTCTACTAGCTTTACAATTAAAGTGGTCCTTGTTCCAACAACTGTTTTCCTGATTTACTGGCCTGCTGTGAAGACAGCAACATGAAATTGAGCTTGGTAACACATAAATTTAAAATAAATAATTATTTAAATTTATTTAAACAATTATTTGAATTTAAATAAATTTTCATGAATTTTAAATAGACTTTATCACTAAATACATGATGATAGATTTAAAACAATTTAGAGCATAGGCTAGTTAAGACAGCATGCTCCAAGTTCAATCTACTTGGGTATTTTTTCTCTTTATTGCCTCTATCTTCTACTTGTGTGATTCTGGACACAGCTTAACCTTAGTTTTGTCATCTATAAAATAAATGAGTACCTACCTCACAGGGTAGCAGCTGGGAGAATTAAAATGGCAATCTATGTAAAGCACTTTGAACAGTGCCTGGCAAATAGTAGGTGCTCAACAAGTGTTATTATTCATTCTAATCTCATCCTTCAGGCTCAGACAACCATGGTCAAGAACTATCAATGCTTTTTTCCAAAGGTACAGAACTATTCAACCTGTAAGTAATACTCTTCAAAATCAAAGCTCTCACAACTATAAAGTTAGTTCTATTATTTGGCATAAAACTTGGAAATATGGTACCTCCATTCCCCACTATACTAATGAAACACTGCTCCTATTCAATAGGATCGGAAAGAAAAAATAAAGGTAATGATGTGTAAAAGGATTATCAGGGATCTTCAATGTGGTAGGCAGCCTTGAGGACGGCCTCTAAAACTCCAAAATTCCAGTATTCTCACTGGATAACCTTCTGCCGTTGAGTATGGGCTGGACATACTGACTCATTTCCAAGAATAAAACAGGGCAGTGGTCTGCTACTGCCAAGATTGGGTTACAAAATGACAGAGCTGTAGGCAGAAGTGCCATCTCTCTCTCTCTGTGAAACCCCCACATCAAAGAGCTGGATGAAGTTTAGAATTTAATCCTTGTTAGGTTGAACCTTTGAGTTGACTGCATCCCAGCCCAAACCAGGACAACAAACTTGTACTGGATAAGAGCACCCACTTAAACTGTACCCAGATTCCTGATCAACAGAACATGTGAGAGAATAACCGTTTGTTGTTTTAAGCCACTCAATTTGGGGGTATTCTGCTATGCAGAAACTAAGGTGCTACAGTTTTTTTTAGTCTATAGATTCACTACTCAAAGTTTCAGCACCATTCTGACAAAATTACTGATCATTATTAGGCAGTATTAGAGGATCAGTTTGACAACAAACCAAAACCTGCATCTGCCTCTCATCCCAAATACGCAACGATTATTCATGTGATTTAAACAGCCCCCGACTCACGCTTTTCAATAGAAGCAGCTTTAAGCCGCAACTGGTTTCCACTATTTTAAGTATTCTCCCGCAAATAGTCTGCAAGTCTGGTTGCTTTTCAATGTTCAGATTTCAGCTAAAATATCACCTTATTAAAGGCCTTTCCGGACTAGCCATCCGGATAGAGCCACTGCCTACCTCACTATCAATCACATTTTCCTCTTACTGTCTCCAATAACTTCTCCTCCCAATACGTTGTGTTTATTCAGTAGTTTGTGTATTGCCTCTGCCCGCACTACAACACTCTCCATGAAACTTGTTCGCGGCTCCAGTCAGCCCTTTGTCTGGTACACGACAAAGACTCTATAAGTAACACTGTTATCTGTGGACGAAAAAGGAATGGAAAGCAAAAACTCAGGGCAAGGAAAATGATCTGGAGAAGCGGAGCGGTCAGTTAAGTCCCATCAGGCGAAACCAACCAGCTCTGCCTCGAAAGCCTGAAAACTACAAGAGACCAGAACTACAGGAAAATTACAGAAATGAAAACACAGAGATTGGTTTTGACACCCAAAACACTACGGGGGGCTCCGGCGGGGAGAATGGAGTGAGCGAACTGACCAGACCTCGTGGGAACGGTGAGGATCAGGGAGGGGACAGGAGGGACGACCTTGAGAGTACATTACCCGAGTCGCCCCCCGGCACCGAGGGGGGCAGCGTGAGGGTGAACACGGCGGCCACAGCGGCGAACACGGCGACGCCGCCGCGGAGGCCCCCAGCGCGCCGCGCCCCCGCTCGGGCTGCCCGCCCCCCCAGCCGGGCCCCCGCCGTCTCCATGGAGACCCATGGGCCAGAGGGGACCAAGGAAGGAGGACGCGGCGGGCCCCAAAAGTCGGGGCGCCCGGAGCCCACAGGGCGAGAGGCGAGCTCGGCACTAGGCAGCCGCGGCAGCTTCCGGGTCGGGCCGGGTGGGACCGGACCGCACCTTTCTGCGCCGGCGCGGGGGTAGAAAACGCGGGGTCTCGCGGGAGCCAGGCCCGGGCAGCCATCAGACTGCTCGGGGTTTACAGAATATAGTGTGCTTTCCACTAGCGCATCACAAGGGACAGCCGTCTTTTAACAGAGGAAGCCTGGGCCGCCGTGTCTATGGCCTCCCCCACTTCCTGGCCACTTGGTCGGGTCTGACAGAGACGGGAGCCGGGTCGCCAAGCGGACGGGAGGAAGGGTAGCGACTTCCCCCTGAGGTGTGGGGTGGAACTGCACGAGGGGCCCCAGCCCGCCAGCTCGCAGTGTGCGCCTTAGTAAGTCAACAAACACCTAAATCGCATGTTTACAGCGAGTAATTATATGCCCGTGTGCTAACTGTTAAATCGTCGTTATTTTCAAAGAGATTAAAGAAAGCTAATTGGTCTTTTTTTCCCCCTTATAGCATGAGGAAAACTTGGGAGATGAGTTGAAAACCTTGTTTCTGAGGTAGTACAAATAATTTATATCATGATAAAATTGTCTCCAACATTGATGAGGAGGAGTGTTTCTGTGAAGCTTTGACTACGCAGTGGAAAATGAGATGAAGTCACTGCATTTTCCAGTTGGCTGCAACACCAAAAAGAATGGGGACTCTTGGTAAGGTCTTTAAGCTTACTTTATACAGTATTGTAGCAACTATTCTGGAGTGGGAGGGGAGGTGGGATACCTCCCTGGAATGCATCTCAAAAGACACTGAAGATCAGTGATGGTCTAAAACGTGTTATAAGCAAGCTGACAACACAGTGTCTCAAAGGTAGAGTGACTTAACACACCTGTGTAGACTGGCAGCCATGGCGCCAGCATTACCTTGGTCTTTCTCAGGTACTCCATAAGGCTTTCTCTGCAGGATTGAGAGTCCCTGGAGAACCGGTAGGCAGCTTCTAAAATGCTCCCCATAATCTGACTCCCCATATTCACTACCTTATGTAAATCCTCTGCCCTTGAGTGTGGGCAGAACCTAGTGACTCACTTCTAGCAATAGAATAAGACAAAAGTGATGGAGGTCACTTTGGAGATGAGGTTATAAAAGACTGACTTTTCATCTTTCTTGCACTCCCCACCATGGGCACCACCTTGCTGCCTTCCCACTTACTCACTCTGATGAAGCCACTTCACCAGGCTGTGAGCTGTCTTATGGAGCCATCCCCATGGCAGGGAACTGAGCATCACCCCTGGCCAGACAGCCCACGCAGAGCTGAGCCCCTCAGTCCAACAACCTGTGAGGAGTTAAATCCTGCTAATCCCTCCTGAGGGAGCTAGGAAGCCCATCCTGCCCCATGGGAGCCTTGAAGTAATGACTTGCCTCCGCCAAGACCTTGATTGCAGCCTGCGAGAGAACCAGCTAAGTCTCACACAGATTGCTGTCCTGCAAAAACTTTGAGATAATAAATGCTGTTGTCCACTAAATTTGGGGGTACTTTGTTTCTCAGCAATGGGTTACCAGGACAGCCTGCCTTCCATTTCTCCCCCCTCCCCTTTCTTTATTTTTCTGCACCGCTTCTTTGTTGCTGCCCAGGCTTTTTTTAGTGGCTAGGAGTGGGGGCTACTGTCTTGTTTTGGGGCTCGGGCTCCTCCTTGCAGTGGCTTCTTTTGTGGAGCACAAGCTCTGGGGATCCCTGGCTTCTCTAGTTGCAGTTTGAGTGCTCAGTAGTTGCAGTTCACGGGCCCTAGAACCCGGGGTCAGAAGTTGTGGTGCGTGGGGTTTAGTTGCTCCAAGGCATGTGGAATCTTCACAGACCCGGTATGTCCCCTGCATTGCAAGGTAGATTCTTTCTACCAGGGAAGTACCGTTTCATTTCTTTTCTGAAAGAACATGCCAGTGAGTAATACTGACTGAGCCAAGCATATGTTTCTTTCCCTTTTTATCCATTTCATCTTTTGTTCATGAGCTTTATGAAAAGATAACTTTTTATCACGGCAGATTTCACAAGAACATAATTATTTGCCCACGTTTGAGAGGTAGAGCTTAGTGTTGGAGTTTGAATTTGGGAATTGTTACATAAGAATGAGATGAATGAATGAGTTCACAGAGGAATAATGTAGGGAGAACAAGGTTGAGGTCAAATATTAGTCCACATCTTCATTTAGGGAGTGGCAGGAGAAGAAAAGAGAACAGTGGAAGAGAGGAATGCACCACAGGGAACTAAGGAAGAAATGACATCAGTGATGTTTACCTGGGCAAGTTGTTACAGAGAGGAGAAGGATGATGAGGAGGGCCACATCTAGGTTTATGGGGCTAAGTTTATCAAGTTGGAGAATCCTGTAAGCAAAAAGATACAAAACTGCAGATAGAAAATTAATGATGGGCATTGGAAAGAGGTTGTGCTAGTGACAGACTGTGAAGGTTTTTTTTTAATTAAAGTATGGTTTGTTTACAATGTTGTGTTAGTTTTAGGCATACAGCAAAGTTTTTCAGATATATATATATATATATATATATGTATTCTTTTTCAGATTATTTTCTGTTATACGTTGTTACAAAATATTGAGTAGAGTTCCTTGTGCTATACAGTAGATCCTTGTTGTTTATCTATTTTATATATAGTAGTGTGTATGTGTTAATCTCAAACTCCTAATTTATTCCTCCCTTCCCCTTCCCCTTTGGTAACCATAAGATTCAGGCTGTGAAATATAAGCTTTGTTAGCTTCATGGCTAATCTCCTATGAGGATGGAGAACAACCAGTTCTCTGTGTATCTGTGTCTGACTACCTCTCAGTAAGCAAGCTGACTCCTCTCCACCCTGAAACTGTTTCTCCCTCAGGTATCAGCGATAGCACACTTCTTTGACTTTCCTTCCACCCCTGGCCTCTCTGCCCTGGATTGCTTCTATCAAGCCTCCACATAATGAGAGTGCACCAGGCCTTGGTTATAGACTTTTCTTTCTCTTTCTGCCTTCTTTCCCAAGATAATCTTATTGAGACTTTAAATAGTAACTCTAGGCTGATAAAGGGCTTCCCCAGTGGCTCAGCAGTCAAAGAATCCACCTGCAGTGCAGGAGACGTGAGTTGATCCCTGGGTGGGGAAGATCCCCTGGAGAAAGAAATGGCAACTCACTCCAGTATTCTTGCCTGGGAAATCCAGTGGACAGAGGATCCTGGCAGGCTCCAGTCCATGGGATCACAAAAGAGTCAGACATGATTTAGCGATTGAATATCAATAATCAGGTCCTACTATAGTTAGATATGATGACCTGCAGGTACTTGAACCTTGAAAGTTCCACAGGTCAGTGTTAGGAGGTTAATAGATACGGAAACAAAGGAACAGTGAATAAGAAGTGAGAAAATGGAAAAGGGAAAATAGAATATATTTGCAGGAAATTTGGCAGTGAAGGGAAAGAGAGAAGTAGTGCAGGAAGACACAGGGATTGAAGTATCACATAAGTTTTTAGTAATCCAGGGGAGTATTTGGAGAGAAATAGTGAGGAACAAAAGATGTACAGGAGGCTGGAGGGGATGGAACCAAGGAGGGAAGAAGAGAAGGGATGAAAACAGGAAATGTTAAGAATTGTTTACAAAAGAGAGATAGTGAGGTGGACCTTATCCTGGAGCAGACTAATAAAATACAGAAGGAGTATTTTTACCTGTTATGTATGTTCTGCTCCATTCCACATTGCATTAGAGACAGCTACTACTGTAAAACAGAAAAACATGTGTATCAGGATCCAACCAGAGAAGCAGAACTAGAGGGAGATACATATAATGGAATTTATTGCAGGGAGTTGTCTCACGTGATTGTGGGGGCTGGCTTGGCACGTCTGAAATCCATGGGGAAAGCCAGGCCTTCCTGGCATTGTGGTCTGCATCCACATCGATGGACATTCAAGGACTCCACATTCTATCTGGGCAGAGAGGATGTTCCAGCTCTTCCCCTGGGTTCCACTGACACCTCCCTCGAGGAGAAGGGGTAGGAGAGCCTCATGACTGCTCCCCTGCACTTCCCCTGACACTGCAGTGAGGAGGAGGCCGGCCGGGGATCTCCTTTAGGTCCTGTCTGACCGCCGCCGCAGGGAGAAGAGGGGCAGCTCAACACTGCTGGATGGGGTAGAGGGCTGGGCTCCCCATGGTAACGTCACTGGTGCCATGGATGGAAGTTCTGGCTCTCTTCTCGGCCTTTTTTGACATCACCCTGGTGGGTGTGTTGGGGCATCTGGAGAGGGTAGAAGTCTCGGTTCCCCACTCAGCCTTTGCTGGAGCAAGTGGAGGTGGGGAGGCCACAGTTTTTTCTTTGGTTTCTAGTTACATAGGAAACAAAGGAACAGTGAATAAGAAGTGAGAAAATGGAAAAGGGAAAATAGAATATATTTGCAAGAAATTTGGCAGTGAAGGGAAAGAGAGAAGTAGTGCAGGAAGACACAGGGATTGAAGTGTCACATGAGTTTTTGGTAATCCAGGGGAGTATTTGGAGAGAAATAGTGAGGAACAAAAGATGTACAGGAGGCTGGAGGGGATGGAACCAAGGAGGGAGGAAGAGAAGGGATGAAAACAGGAAATGTTAAGAATTGTTTACAAAAGAGAGATAGTGAGGTGGACCTTATCCTGGAGCAGACTAATAAAATACAGAAGGAGTATTTTTACCTGTTATATATGTTCTGCTCCATTCCACATTGCATTAGAGACAGCTACTACTGTAAAACAGAAAAACATGTGTATCAGGATCCAACCAGAGAAGCAGAACTAGAGGGAGATACATATAATGGAATTTATTGCAGGGAGTTGTCTCACGTGATTGTGGGGGCTGGCTTGGCAAGTCTGAAATCCATGGGGAAAGCCAGGCCTTCCTGGCATTGTGGTCTGCATCCACATCGATGGACATTCAAGGACTCCACATTCTATCTGGGCAGAGAGGATGTTCCAGCTCTTCCCCTGGGTTCCACTGACACCTCCCTCGAGGAGAAGGGGTAGGAGAGCCTCATGACTGCTCCCCTGCACTTCCCCTGACACTGCAGTGAGGAGGAGGCCGGCCGGGGATCTCCTTTAGGTCCTGTCTGACCGCCGCCGCAGGGAGAAGAGGGGCAGCTCAACACTGCTGGATGGGGTAGAGGGCTGGGCTCCCCATGGTAACGTCACTGGTGCCATGGATGGAAGTTCTGGCTCTCTTCTCGGCCTTTTTTGACATCACCCTGGTGGGTGTGTTGGGGCATCTGGAGAGGGTAGAAGTCTCGGTTCCCCACTCAGCCTTTGCTGGAGCAAGTGGAGGTGGGGAGGCCACAGTTTTTTCTTTGGTTTCTAGTTACATAGAGAGTTACTTTCTAAATGTATCTGTATTACCTTTTCCTTGTCCTTTGACCAGAGAGAGAGAGGTTTTTGTGGGGTGGGGGCTTTTTTTGTCTGTGCTATTGGAGTCTCTCACTTTTCTAGCACCCAATCTGAGCTACGTGAAGCAAAAAGAAACCCAAGGATCTTACCACCATGTTCTTTAGGTTTCGAGATTCCTGTCTGGTCTACCTTATCCTCTCCACCTTTTGGGCACTATTTCATCCTTTTTAATGGCTGAGTAATATTCCATTGTATTCATATACACCACAGATTTTTTATTCATTCATCTGTCAGTGGTCACTTAGGTTGCTTCCATGTCTTGGCTGTTGTAAATAGTGCTGCTATGAACATTGAGGTGTATATATCTTTTTGAATTAGAACTTTCAACTTTTCCAGATATATGCCCAGGAGTGGGACTGCTGGATCATCTGGTAGCTCTATTTTTAGTTTTTTAAAGAACTTCTATACTGGTCTCCATAGTGGCTATACCAACTTACATTCCCACCAACAGTGCAGGAGGGTTCCCTCTTCTCCCCACCCTCACCAACAGTTTTACAGTATTTATCTATTCAGGCTTTGCTGAGTCTGTATTGCTGCACAGGCTTTTCTGCAGT